CAAATTTAAAATATTAGTGTTTTTTTAATAAAAATCTGTATTCTATTTCTGTTATTAAAAAAACAAACTTTCGTAATAAATAGAAACTCTATAGTAGATTTCATTACTATTTACTTCGGTTGATATAATATTAGAACGATTTTTTGATAGATTTTATTTGTCTGGAGATACAGATTGTTTCATAGTGAATTCAACGGGGGACCGTATTTGCGCAGTAGTACTGATTGGTAAGTTATTTTTATGTATTATTTTTGTAACTATATTTGGTGGTATACATAAATTATTAGCCTACTCTTATAGACTGAAAACTATTTAGGAGCCATGCTGTAAGTTCTGAATATAAAGTACGACTCACATTAAGATACTATGCAGTATTATGCAGTATGCATACGCGTGCGCACGTCCTCTTTCAGTGGAGGCAAGATGGGCTAACCTGAGAAGGTCCAAGAAACTCTGTTCGTCTTTTGATGTGCATATTTTAAAAACTTTTATGACTTCTTCAAAATAAACACTATAATGCTTGATCCTGTTCAATAAACATATTTTAGAGTCCATCTAATTTTTTTTCGAAACCTGGTACTTTTCAACTTTGTTTTAACAACATTTAGTTTTGAGAAGGATGTTACTTTCACCGGTGTACCTTGTTAACGATATGTAACAAAGGAACCTTGTTCCTTTACCGGGCACCCTTTTATTGCAATTTTTTTTTACTTATACAGTTAGTTTGCTATAGTCTATACTGAGTACTGACAACGATGGTGAAGTCAGAATTTGGCAGTCGGACTTAGTTTTGAAATTATGGCCTAATGAAGTTCGCTATTTTGCGATTTTTACTAATTTGCTCATCATTCTGTTTACTAAGCCTATTGCGAATGTTTATGTTATTTTTTTTTTGGAAACTTGTGTACAACAACGAGTTAAGAACGGTGGTGCAATTATAATTAGTTATCTTGGCAATCTAGTGATGCTCGAATTCCCGGGAATATAGCAACGGGAATTTCGCCGATTCCTGGGAATATAATAAGTTTTTGAATATTGATCAATGTTTCAGTGTTAAATTAAACTTATAGTTGTAAATGATACAAATTACAAATATTTTATAGCAAAAAATATTGCTATAAAATATAGGTAGGTAATATAAGTGTATTATAGTGACTCCTCCGGACCTCTCGTGACATTGCTATTTAAACAATATATTTTAAAACTTTGAATAAAATTACTTACTGCAATTTTTCATTTATATTTTTATACTTTTAGATTTAAATTATGAAACGCTTTTGAGTGAACCCGTGTTTATAGATAGAACTATCATAGTTGTAGAATTTTACTGTGCTACTCCCCTACTACCTACCTATGCTTCAACCGAAGAATAGATAAATGCTTCTACCGTGCGCGAAACGCAAATAAAATTAGCTAAAACGCACAAACATTTCATATCAGTCATCATATATTGTAACTGATTAGTCGTTCTTGTTCATATTCCGAATTCTGATTGATAAATTATCTTATGACAATATATGACAAATGAACTTGCCTCCCCCCCCTGATTCGCACGCGTATGAGACTATGCTACCCAAAGGTGGGCAAGTTAATGAAAATAATTAACTCAAGTTAAGTTAAGTTAAGAGGACACAAGATCAATAAGTTAAAAGTTAACAGTTAACAAATTATAAACTTAACTCGATAGGTTAAAAGTTAATATAGAATAAAAAATTAACTTAACTCAGTTTAAAAAAAGTTAATATATATATTTTTTTTAAGTAAATCACATAAAGAGTGAATGTGTCTTTCTAGTTTCTAATTTATAAATTATAAATCAATTTGATTTAACTTTTATCATAATGTGCACTGTATACCCTTTTACTTTTTTATTATTTATTAAATTAAACTATACTCATCTCAAATTAATAATTTCAAATTTCAAAATGTTTTTAACTTATTGGTTTTTTTTTTAATCAACTGAGGATAGCTAAGTTATTTCAACTGTAAATTAAACTAGTTAAGTTCATAAGTTAATTAGAAAACAAACTAACTAGTTAAGTTAAATAGTTAAAAAAAATTAACTTTTTAACTTAACTTTAACTTTTTAACTAGTTAATGCCCACCTTTGATGCTACCTATGCTGGATCAAGTATTGTTGGTGGTATCTGTAGAGACTTTGTGCAATACACAAATCTACTGAAAGCCGTATAGTAAAGCATGTACATATATAGTGTTATTGCTACATTGCGTCCTCAAATGGTCCATTTTACTCACAATGAAATGATATTAAAAAGACAAAATAAGATTTTTGTAATATCACCAAATACACATTGTTATTACTTAGGTATTGATACACTGGACTCTGGACTACATGTACCTACGATTAATATTTGTTTACTTATTTGAGTCATGTTACCGAGTGTGCAGAAACTTAGGCTGCGGTCACAGTGGCACCGACGTCGGTGAAACTCGCCCGATTATTTTAAGTAAAGTAAATATAATACAAGTGGTCTCAGTGCCTCCGGCCGTATCGGCCGATTACGCCGACATCGGTTATCCATCGGACGAAATTCAATTTCGTTTGTTTATATCGGCCGATTCAGTCGACGTAAATTAGTTCAAACACAAATATTATTTTAAAATATTATATTTTCATCATGGACTGCGAGAAATTAATAAGTTTGGTCCATGAAAGAAGGAGCTTATGGGACCATAGCAGTAAATCGTATCATAACAGAGACATCGCAAGACGTCTCTGGGATGAAATCGCTGTATTATTATAAAAAACAAGTAATAAGTACTATTCAAATTTTTAACTATATTATGTAATATAATATAATGTTATTAAGCAGTAAGCTATAATGTAACTATATTTTATTAAATCATTCATTCTTCATTGTATCGTGAAGATGAAAATAAAATAGTAGTTGGTAACTGACAACGAATTTTACGAATTACACACACTAACATTCAGAACCGCCATTTGGGTAGGGGGGGGGGGAGAAGGGCGTGCAAGGGCACCACTAACTAAAAAAATGTTAGCAATTACCATTAATACTGCAATGCGCCGTCATAATTAACTTATACATTAAGATTTCATATACAGATAATATACCTAAATAAAATTTTTTTTTTCAAGCTTTTGTATAATTTTGGTTTATCAGGTTTATTGATCACCTTATTTGCCTTTCTTCAAAATATTAGAGAAATGGATTTAATTGCTTATATGCTTTTAATTCTTTGAATTTCTAACTATTTAAAAATTGCATTAGTCGTTATGAGTTTCAAATGTTTCAATTATAATAATTATAAAAGGGAAGGAAAGAATATTTACATAGGTTTGCATAGGTTACCTACTTTTATGTATATAAATATATTTTTTGGCCTGGTGAAATGTCAAAATTGACTTGCCTAAAAGTTTGCATACCTAGAAAAAAAACTGAAATGACGCCCCTGCATTCATTTACTTCTCACACAGTAACACAGCTCAAATAAATGCCTAAATATTACCCCTTAAAACACGTCATGCTCCAGCCATCTTAATAAAAAATTATCAAAATTTTGATTCGTTTGATTGTAATTAGGCTATTAGCCTATTTCGTTCAGATCATATGAAAAATGTAATATTTTCTTAATATTTATTTTACAATAATAAATAAATTAAACATTTTTAAAAATAGTTTACATGTAGATCTTTAAAATAAAATGTTACTATACTTCAAGTACTTTTAGGCATAAAAAACACATTATGCATTTTGTTAAATACTGTATGCACAAATGTATGCATATTCTGTAATATGTTTTGCATGAAAATACAGACTCTAATCATTATTAATTAGCATTTATAAAACAATTAATTAAGCAATATAGTTTTAAAAGTATGTTCCTACAAATTAATTTGTACAATTTTACTTAAAAAATATAGCATTAAAGCTGTTTGTACATTTTTTTTATTCACTTAATTTATAGTAAATACTATAAAATGTTTAGGTACTCTAAATTACACAAATGGTACAATAGTACAAATGCCAATAGTATTTGATCAACAATTTTTAATTTAATTTATAAATTTGTCTGTCTTATATCGCAGACCAATGTTTAATAGTACATAATCAGAGTATTTGACTCTGACATGAACATATTTTAACTATCAGTGCCATCCTAACCATCAATAACGCAATAGGACAACAATATTTGACGCCCCTCTACCCCCCCCCCCCAAAAAAAAAAAAAAAATATTGACTCGCTTTTTGAGTTAACCTCTTGCCTTCAATATTTTTAATACTTATTCATTAAAGGTTCCTGCTTATTTTTTTTATTATTATTATGTAATCTTATTTATATAATTGTATTTAATTTGTTTTTATGATTTTTTGAAGTTTACTTATATCATTCTGAGTACATTATAGAAAGAAATATATCACTATTTACACATAACAGTATAAACAAATTATAAAAAAATCTTTGTATTCATAAAGTGCATATAATTATGAGTTATTTATAATATATTAACATAAAAAATCAAAGTAAATAATACTTTATATGTTTATAAGAACAACTAATTAATTTTAATAATTATAATTTCTATTTTAAGTCCCAATCATTCTTCTTTTGGACACTTGTAAGTAAAATAAAATACAAAACTAAAAACGTAAATATTAATTACTAAAACGTAACTAATATTATGATTATTACGCCACAGATGTATAACGTTAATAGCTAAGCCTAAATCATATGTTCTACGCTGCTGTGTGTGGTGTGTACAACAGACAAGAGAGAACAGTATAAATTGTATGATGCTCCCTAAATTCATAATACTTAGGAAGCCCTAGGGCAGTTGCCTCATTTGTCCCCTCAAATTAGAATTTGTAAAATTCTATATTTGAGATATTTAACTATACATTGCAATTCGGAGTTTATTTACAATATAAACTTCTAAAAAATAATTGTTATAATATATAAATATTTATTTATATACATTAACTTTTCCGATGGTTAAAAACAATAATATGACAGCATAGCTATTTCAACATTATTTTTAATATTTAATTTATTAACTCAAGTGCCTATTTCATTAATAAAATCTATGTAATATCTCAAGACCGGTTCTGATTACTTGTTTACTCTTTGTTATACATAATATTAAATTAAATAGCTACTCAAAGTGTTTAGGTGATAGTCAATATTAAGTATCTAACTCCATCATATTGTGTTCAATAACTATATAATAGATAAAAAAAATAATTAATAATAAATTTTACAATAAAACAAGCAAAAATAGTACATAAATATACTTTGAAATAAAGATAACTATTAACTTATGAAAGTAAATGGAAATAATATACAAATTCAAAATATAAAATAACATACAATAAAAAAAATTGGAATATGAACTAGGATTATAAAGTTATTCATTACAAAACAATTAAAATAGATACAATAATTGCATTTCACTTCTGTGAATACATTTAAATAATAGAAACTGATAAAAAAAATAATTCAATAAACATTTATTTATGCAAAAAAGAAAAATTTCATGTGAAATTATTCTTTTGATGCACTGGAATAATAGTAATTATCATGGTAAAAATTCAATCATTAAGTTTAAAAGAACTAGTAACACACAGATAGCTATTTATTTTTAAGTATTATTAAAAATAATAATTAACCCTAATCAATAAAGCTTTGCTCCACACACATTTTCACTCGTTTCTCATACTCTCTGCGATTCTCCTTATATAATTGGGCAGCCATAGAATTAGCTGGTGAATTAGGATTTGGATCACTAAGAAGTGATTGTATAGATGTCAAAATAGCAGCTACATCATAAGTGGGACTCCAGCGGTTCTGTAATATATCAAGACAAATGCCTCCATCTGCGTAGACATTTGGATGAAACATTTTTGAAACAAACCTTACTGTTGGTGGCTTGTTAGGATATTCTTCAGTAAATTCTATAGTCAATTTAAATGTGCCATCTTCAAATGGAGTATCATGTGGTCCAAATATCACAGCTTTCCACAGCATGATATTGTTATCAGTTGGTGTGCCACTGATACCGGCTGGTGGATCTTCTTGTAATTTTTTAAAGTCCCGCATTAGTCTACGTCTGGCAGGAGTTGACATGATGAATGGTAACTATTATTATTCAATAAAAACAAACCTGTAGATATAAAATAAGAATTAAGACACAATTTAATAAAATTATACATGTGGGGTTAGGTATGTCATACATTTTTTACATCATATTCATTTGTTAGACATCTTAGATTAAATGGTACATACAAAGAAAGTTAGAAGTATTAACAAATATACAATAAAAATGTTCATCAATGATGCTCTCAAAATGGTTTAATAAGGAACAGAAAAACTCATTACTATGTGGTAATCTTCCCAAAATAATAATAGAATATATTATATTAGCGTCAGTAAATATTATTTTATTATTCCTAATATTTAAAAAAATTGAATTTTTATTTATAAAAGTATATTTATTTTTCTTAATCTTTGAGCCGTGACATCACAGACTTCTTCGGCATTAATAATAATTTTTCCCAGATAGTCAACATTATTAATCAATTGAGATGGTTCTAAGAAATGATGTTAATTTAGCAAAATAATAAGTCACCAATATAAGTCCTTACTTCAGTGATAGTGTTCATACATGAAAATTTTATCCCAGTAGTTGATGTAGACACTGGCATGGTGCATACTGTTTTAAATAATTTACTGGTGAATACGTAATGATTATATAAATGTACGCATATAAGGCTATTTTACTAGGAAATTTATAATTTTCTATCAGTTTTGTCTGCCTAATTTTAGTTCAGAAATAGTGGTTTGAATTTTATACCTAGCTGAATCGAGGTAAAATGTAACAAGTTTTTCAAACGATTGATAAAATAAATACTAAATAGTTAATGAATAAAAAATAATTAATCAACTATCACAAAATGTTTATAATTTGTTACTCACAGAAAGCCCATGAAAGGTTCTATCCCCCCACACATGAGAAAGCCCAATTTGTCATGTACACTTAATAACAAGAAATAAGATATTGATGGCTTGAAAATTACCAAAAAAAAAATGCTTTCATTAATGATCTAAAAAGGAAAAATTATACAAATGATTTTAAAACAACACCTACCTCGTTTTAAAATTATAAAAATTATAAGTTATTAAATTCAAAATACTTTTTATTTATCAAACACTTTAATAAAAATTAAACAGTAATTAAAAATGATTATTATGTGTAACTGTGTAAGTGCATCACATATTTTTAAATCAAGTCAAATAATATTAAACACTAAAATTAATATAGCTTGGATGTAAAATATGTAGGTCGTAGGTAGTAAAATAAAAACAAACAGTTAAAATATTTGAATTGTTTTTTTCATTTCTTGTATTTCATGAAACTAAATATAAATAAAATAACACATACTTGTAGATTATATCTTCAAAAATAAAAAATCAAATATTATAATTTTCAGATATTTTACTTGGCCTGGCAATAGAATATAATTTAACTATTAAGAAGTGCTGAGCAATGAAAATGTTAAAATTTGTGAGTACTGAATCACTGGCTACTGACAACAGATCCCTCCCTTAATTAATATGTCTATCAAAAAACTATGTCAGTTCAGTTGCATTTATTGGATTTTAACGATTTAATTTATAAATATAATTAGGGATTGGAAGTTATGACTACTTCATTTTTGTTTTGAAACGACTTAGGTAAAGCTTTCCTAGCAAACAATGTATTTTTTAATTTTAATTTTTTGCTATTTACCTATATTTAATTTTACAATTAAAATTATACAGGTTAGGTTAAATATTTATATATTTTTAAAAATACAAAAAATATTGTTATACTCTTACATAAAGCTAGACTTATAAGTAGAGCCTGCATTTATATGCATTCAATGTGTCAAGTACAATGCAAGTGTGAAAAGAAAAACTAAAATGTTGTATTTAATATGCAATTATATGCACTATATTATACATTATAAAATGTGATTTTAAAAAAAACCACATTTTTACGCCAAGGAAGTAAGTACTAAATATTCTATAAGAAACAAAAAAAAATATTTAAACAATTGAAATATTCTAATACTTTAAAAATCAAAATGCAATATTTTAAAATCTCCATTTTTTTATATTAAAGATTGTTTGAAATACAATGTCTAAGACTCTCTGAAAATTTACAAAAACCACAATCAAAATAAAAAAATAAAAATCTGTAAATATTATAGATAATTTAAAATTTTTTTTTTCTCGTATCATACACGGGTGTGTTCGTGTTTGGCAGAATTTTTATTGGGCACCCGTAGGTTTCTGCCATGCCTGGTTGGGAGATGGCGGCACTTGTTCTCCGATCACCGTGACTTGTCTGGAGAAAAATGCCGCCCGGTGGCCGAGGATCAAACCGCGACCGCTGCGTCGCAGCGGACGTGTCAGACCACTCGGTCACCTCGTCCCCCAATTTTAAATTATAAGACTTAAACTCAGAAACTAACAGAAGACTTAAAAACAACAAAAATTTTTTTAAACTTTCAGAATACTTAATAAATTAAATTAATAATAACAAACCTTGTTTAAATATTTTAAGAATTAACAATCATTACTTCAAGACTTTTTAGTATAATATTTAAAATTAAAATATGTACAACGCACTTGACTTGATAATACACCACTGATCTACTAATTGTAAATACAATTTTGACGAGATTATAAGTCTCAAACCATCGAATTATGAAAGAAGCCAAAGTATGTTTAGTTTTTAGCATTTTGACTTTTTTTTTTAAAACAAATAATAATAGTAACTAATAATAATAATAATAATAACTAATAATAGGTGACTACTTAGTTTCTTCAAACAAGGTTTTAAAACATAAGGATGACACGAACGCACGATGCCATTATGGAATTTACAAAATGATAACAAGTTTCAACATAGTAAACTGGAACACATGTGTATATCATTTACTGTTGTACAATATTCTTCTAGGAGACACTGTCAATGATTTTTTTCTTCTGTAAAATTACTAAAATATATTTACCTTAAATTAAATTAGCTAATTTATTAAAATCCATTTAATATGCATGTCATATGTATTTATAAACTAATATGCAATAATCCTCCAAGTATGCAAAATATGCAAAATCAAAATTGGTTTTTGAATTTTGTGTAATATAAACTGTAGACATTTCTAACCCCCGTTGACGTGCATACACTAAATACAAACATGCAAATAGATATAATTTTGGGCTCTACTTATAAGTAATATTAATTTTGTCGTACTTTATTACTTTTGTAAACATCTGATTTATAAAATGAAATCAATAACAATTATTTTGAAATAGTAGGTATTACCTATCTACCTATTTAAGTATTTTTTACCATTTTTAGGTCACATTAGTGCTTTTTTCAGGTCATTTTTTAGGTTATCAACTCCTGTATGTCTTCTCTATTTTATAAACTAAACTTAAAAAGTAAATGTACCTCCATACAAGTTATTTAAGAAACAAAAAATTCATTTATAACTAAAACTACAAAACAAAATGTACCTACCTATATTCTGAATCTGTGAAACATTGTTCATAACTATAGAAAATGTCTCAACTATTGACTAACTTCCAATACCTGAATTTATATAAGCACCTACCAAATGGTACACCCTTTGGTACAATACATTAAGATTATTTTAATATTTTTTACTAATACCATTTACATTTTACGCACTCTATGTATACTTATGTTAAATGAAATTGCAATGTAAAGATAACATTAGTTCAATCAGTGGTCTCGCTGTGGTCACGATTGCTTGGGGCTACAGTAAACAATTGTAGGTAATAATACCATATAGCAGAGATGAACAAAAAAAATTAGATAGAGATAAAAAAATTGAGCTTGAAATCAATCAACACTATTGCGCTACAATATAATATGAATATTATTCAATCATAAAAATTAAATATGATTATCAATTACAAAATTATATTAAATTAATGACCGTATAGGATGACCTCAAAAGTGATGATAGTATTGTAAGTTGAATTATAGTTGTTGTGTGAGAGTATTTATTATGACACGTTATCAGACAATCCATTAGATCAGCAATAATAACTAGCTCTCCTCCGCTATACTATAGATGCATCAAATATATTACTCAGGTCTCAGAATACAAAAAAGAAAACAATCAGAATGTTATCTTATCCCATCACTGCCCTGATAATTAAGATTTTCAAGAAGAAAAATTTGATATGTGTGCGTATCACTTGTATACTGCACGTGCAACTTCTTGAACACTGAAAATTGACCCGATAAGTACCGATACACTCCAATTTGTTTATTGAACATCTTGAATGCGTTTGAAAGTGTTGACCGGAAGGCCATTAAAAATCGTTAACTGGACGAAAATAACAACTTCAGCGGGGAAACGGATTGGGCCACTGCGACCGTCGTGAAACGCAAAACAGCTTAAATGAAACATATTATTAGGTATTCAGACTTACCGACGACGGCAGCCACTTCAAAAGTGCGAACGGCTCTCGAGTTTAGAAGACTGGTCGGTGACCAGTGGACGGCGGTGGTAGTCGAAGAGCCCGGGCACAGATATAGATAATTATAATTTTTTTTTTATAGGTATTATTGTTACCTATTACTTGTACATTTTTTATTAATAATCGCTTACTAATGTCGAATATCTGTGGTGCCCGGTCAGCCCACGGACTCGAAAGTTGAACGGCGGGATCGTCGTTACTCGTTATCTGCGTGTGTAACAAACACTGAAACGCAATTGTACGTTTTATCACCGACACCAAAATGCACGGAATCAGACGTGTTCGATGTGTTGTTATTGCAGGCGAGATGACGTTATCGTCGTTGTTCGGTTGTCGCGATTGTTAGCACTGCACTATCGTATCGATTTCGCAACACGGCACACGCGATTATTGTTATTATTGTTCTCGTACTTTCTACTCGTCTCCCCTCCGCCGGACAACAGTGTTTCGCCGGCCGCGGCTTGGCTCCACGGCTCCACTGGACAGTAGACAGTAGACACTAGACAGTCGCCACTTCGCCGAAAGTCCGTCACTGGCTGGCGGCTCCTTTTTTTTCTTTTTTTTTTTCCTAGAGACTTCATTACCGTTCGGCATTTGCTGTTTAGTACTGTCTACTACAATAGAACAATGCATTATTGTACGTTGTAATACGTCGTACACACCTATAGGTACCTAGTCACCGAAGACTGAAGAGCGAAGAAGACTGAACCACAACCGCCACTGCTTCGTTTAGGCACCTAGTACTAGTCTGGTACGAAATCCGAAAATTAATTAATACCTCCTATATCTTCATTAGTGGGCGATTAGATACTGATGTGTCGATGCGATATATTAAACCATACCTACCTACGTCTCTAAATATTTCACCGATAAAACCGTAATCGATATCAATCACACCTGCCTTTACAAATCAGTTTTGTTTGATTTATCTATATTTATTTATTCCTAATTACGTCTATGCATAATTATACATAGTTCAATAAATGATAAACTCTATTGACGCTACACACAAATATTGAGCCATCTCTCATAATTTAAATTTTATAATTTTATTAATCATAAACAATTGTATTTCTTATGTTATTATATCCATGGGTATTGTAGTATATCTACCTATATACATAATATAATAATTTGATGATTATATTCTCAAAGTAATAGTTTTTAAATGTAATCTGTCGCAAATAAAATGATTGAATTGGCTATTCAATATAGAGTAAAAATTTAATTTCTAAAAAATACCGATTGTGGCTAGTGCAGTATCTTAAAACACAATGGTGAAAGACTGTACAAATTGCAATTAATGATACTTTTGATGATACCTGCTAGATTATAGACATTACAATGCAAGAGAATTTGAAAAAAAAACCTTCAGTTCATTAAAAATTTTATAATTTTCAAACATGATTCTGTTTTGCTCACAAACGTGTTTAATTTATACATTCTAGTGGAGTAGTTTACAATAAATGTATGATGGTGGACAAGAAGAAATCCAATCAGCAGAATCCTGAGCCCTCCAGAAACTACAAAAATGAATTGAGCTTACTATCTGAGGAGAAAGCGAATGACGTAGTAGAAAGATCACTAAAAATATATGTAAGTAGGCGTTAGCTGTGTGAATAATACTAATTTTGTATTGAATATTGAGTAATTTTGTATCAAACTAAAATCTAAAATTTTTTTTTTCAATTTGAGGATAATCTGTTGTTTAATCCCAAACAAAAGTTTTAAGTCAGGTAAGTGGACGTCTCTTTGCTGTACAGTAGGTTACAAGTGGGTCGCTGTAATGGGTGGTTCTAAATTTGAATTCAATGGTATAAAATCATTGCATACAAAAAACGATTCTGAGCTAAGACAGTTTGTCAGCCTATAATATTACTTAATAATTTTACTAATCTTAGTTAATTTACTTAGAACATTATTTGATGATCATTGTCATGATTGAAGTAATTTGTTTTACTGTTCAGCATTAGTACTAAAATAGATTAAATCCATTTTCGCCAAAAAAATTACATTATCAAAGACATAGCGTGTATAAAATATAATAATATTCTTTAAAAATAACAAGTGCCCACAAATATATATTTAAACTAACAAAATAACTTCAATTATTATTCTTGATTATTTCAAAATATGCAATTGCATCCAAATTTAAAAATAAGATAACTGTATAAAAAAACTTAATTTATTTATTTTTGGAAATTTTAGCTATAGAATTACCTACTTACGTGGAACTTTGTTTTAAATTTTGAATCTTTAGCTGTAAAATTTTAAAATCTTATGAATTTTTAACTACAAAATAATTTATACATTTTCAATTTGGTGAATTTTGTCAACATTTAAACTTTAAATCCCTTAAAAAAAATTGTGCATATGTTTTGTAATATTTTTCAACTTTTGTTGTAACAATATATCAGAAACCCCTTCAGAAACCTTGTATTAAATTTTCAAGCTTTTTGACTCAAAAAATACAATTGAATTGACATTTGTAGAAAAAAAACTAAAAATGTCTGGAAAACAGTTCAACAAATGTATACAGAGTGTAACAGAAGGACCTGACAAGTGAAAATGAAAAATTGATACTATTTAAATGTATGAAAAAATAATGAAAATTATATATATGATAAATAATGTCCTCTAAAACAATTAAAAATAATTTGAAAAAATTGATTACATTTTGAATAAATTTACTCAAAAAAGATTTGAAATTAAAAAAAAAATTAACTATTTGACTTAAAGCGTTTGTAACATTAACATTTTTTTGTAAAAATTAAATTTACAAGTTGACTAGTTTGAAATTTCCAAAAAAATTAAAATGTAATCTTTTTTCAGTGCCTACTAAAAAATAAAAAATAATGTTCTATACTTGCAATTATAAGGTATGCTGGCAAATGTGTTAGAAAACCAATTGACTTAGCTATTTTTTTTCAAATTAAAGAATTAATTTTATTAATTACTCATTTCATAGTAAAATTAAATAATTTTGTACCACAATAGTTGGTTACCTTTCAATTTAATTGATCTGTAATCACCTCTTTGGTTTGCTGAAGTATTATTACATTTTAAAAGTTCGAGGTTCAGTATTATGTATTTCAGATCAATTAAAGTAATATTGCTACTTAACCAGGACTTTGTACCAGAATCATTTATTTGGGTTTCAGGCGCTGGGTGCTAAATTACATTTGAACACTGGAATAACGAATCAAAAAAAATGTTTGGATGTTAATAACTGTAATTATTATTTATATGTATAGTAGTTCAGAAAAAACCTAAAAAAATATTAAAAGAGTTTACATGATGTAAATATATTGCACAAGAAAGAAATTTCATTAATATCTTCAAAATACTAAGTTCGCCCCCCCCCCCCCAAAAAAAAAAATTAAATTAAAATGAAATGTACATAGGTACTTCTATCTTAATTCTTACCTGCTTAATTTTTTTTAAACTATTTATAAAATACAAATGTTTTTAGTTTTGTGTTAACCAGAATGTTCTATTTGGTTTTGTTTAATTCTGGTGCTCGGAGAAAAAAACATTGTTTTTTGTTTTATGAGTTTCAGGTGTTTGATTTTTACGGGTTCTTGGGGATTTTATGTATTAATTATATATTATTTATTAAGGTCCTTAACAAGTTACCCACTCTCTAAGTGTTAATTGTTCAAGATGAATAGTTATCTCACAATAAATTGTTACAGTTTCAACATCCAATAAAAAAGAATACAAGGAAAGAAAAATTGCTATATTTTAATACCTATCTAAACTAAACTAAACTAAAATGCAAACTTCAATTGTATTTTAAAAATTTATATGAACTAACAAAAAGCAATGCAAAACTTAAATGTTGATAGTAAATATTTTTTCTTATTGAACGAAAGTTCCTTTTTAATAAATTGTATTTATACGTGTTATATTAAATAATAGGTATATAGTAAATTAATAGTTATCTTAAATTCATTGCTGGTACTATTAATTACAAAAGAGTGAACTCAAAGTATGAGAATAATAATTAAATTTTTAATATAATTTATTTACAATCTGTGCAGTTTATAAACAATAAGTAAGTCTCTGGGCCTCCACACGAGTATGTCTCAGTGAGGCCCAGTAATCTCTTAGATTTAAATTTAAATAAAAATATTAAATAAAAATAAAAAAAATAAAAAATTTATTTGATTTATAATGATTGTGAATATATTATTTTCCAGTATGTTGTAGAAACTTTAAGAATTACGGATTCATTTGAATGCAAAATCAATGAATTTATCGAAGCTCATATGTTTATCATAGATCAAGAAGTTCAATATTTTTTAAAAAAACCCAAACCTAACGAAGATGAACGTACTGTTGAGTCTATATATTCTGGAATGGCAGGAATTGCTTTGTTATACAATTTTTATGCTAACAAAACACAAAACAATAATAAAACTGTGGAGGTTTGTTTGGCCAGTTAAATAATAATATTTGATAAATGTTTTAAATTGTCACTACTTATATTCTTCAAATTAATTTTCTACTTTACTAGAATTGAATGATAGTAACATTCTTTACAAAGATATTGCAATGCTATAATATTAAAATATTTTTGAAATCTTGTATTTTATATTATTAATTATTCCCCAATTGTTTTTTTATTCAAGTTCTCCAGTTTTATCTGGACCTTTAGTTTTTTAATATAATTAACTTATATTAAGTTCATAGATTTGATAAAATTACAATTTACAGGGTGATCCGAGGAGTATGCACACCCCACTTTTTTCTTTAATAATGAAGTTTTTCAAAATTTGATTTTTGGAATCTTTATATATACTTAAAGACCATATTTTCATATTCTTGAGATTTTTGTGCCACCTAAGGAGTGTCCATGGTAATACGAACCTTTGTTTTTCAAATGAGAACACCACTTGTTTTCTTTAAATTATTTAGATTATAATTTTTTTGAGAATTTTGATGCATCGAAATCAAAATTCGAACAAGTGGTTCCCCAGTTATTGGACAATTTGTACTAAGGATAATAGTCCATTATAGGGATATGATTATACAGTTGTACACATGGAATAAGAAAAACAACTAAATAAATCAAGAAGGATTTTACTTGCTATTTACCTAACTGTTTGACTAAATAAATATAAAATGACGTATTATTTTATATTATGTGTATAAACTATAGATAACAACGTATACTGTATAAACATATCCTTCTTCCCTATTATAAACTATATTATCCTTAGCACAAAATGTGTAATAACTAGAAAACTACTCGTTCAAATTTTGATTTCAATACATCAAAATTCTCAAAAAAATTATCCACTAAATGGGGTTCCCATTTGAAAAACAAAAGTTATCTCCACAGGACACTCCTTAAGTGGTACAAAAAATCTCAAGAATATGGAAGTCTGGTCTTTGAGTACATTTAAAGATTCCAATAATCAGATTTTGAAAAACTTCATTATTAAAGAAAAAAAGTGGGGTGAGCATACTTGTTGGATCACTCGGTATATTTGGATATTATAGCCTTTGTTTGCAGTACTTTATGATTTAATATGGTTTAAAATAATGTAAAGGGAACTAATAGACTAATTCTTATTATCATTTACTTCTCTTATACTAAAACCTGCTTTTGCGAGTATGAGAATCATAAATTATGTATGTAATAAGTTTACAGTATTTACCTATAATTTAGAAAACTGACAGCTTTGAGCTTAGGTGGATTTGATAAAATGGTTGTCTTGTATTTGTAATGTTTGTGGTGGTTTTTTAACACAATAAGCTTTTCTTATTTAGATTAGATTATATTGTAAGGCATTGTTTAAAATGTATCTAGCTCTTATATGTCTATTGTGTATATTATATTTATAGGCTAAAATGATAATCGAAAAATGTTTGTCAGTATTAGATGAAAAATCTGATAGTGTAACATATTTAACTGGGAAATCAGGTATATTTGTAACAGCTACTGAAATTTATCGAGATCTTGGTGATATTAAAAATGCAAAAAAAATGATTGAAAAGTATTTATCAAACTATTTATCATATTTCATAAATTTACATAATTTTAATATATTTGTTTGTTGTTTTTTCTTTGTTTTAAATAGAGTTGTGGATCTATTGCCATCAGCATTAAATAAAAAAATGCCCGATGTATTACTTTATGGGCGAGCTGGATATCTATACTCTTTACTATTACTTAAAAAGCTGGGATGGGAGGACCCAGACAGAGATAAATTGATACGCAAGGTAACAAATCAAAAGTGTAATGAATTTTTTTATTTTGTTATTTAATTGTTATAAATTATATGAACATAACAGGTAGTGACTTCAATTTTTAACAACGGTATACAGACATGTGATAAAGATAAACCAAGAAGAACTTCTCTCATGTACAAATGTCACAACAAAAAATACTTAGGGGCAGCTCAAGGTTTATCGGGTGTTCTACATTGCCTTTTACTAGTATGTTTTGATTAAACACCTACGTATAGTCTTGTAAAATATACTTAATAAATGTATTCAAGTACATATAAAGCTACTTAATTTGAAAAATATTTAAAATTTGTATTTGTATTTTCAAATACTTTCAAATTTTCCACAAATTAGATTTATTATGTACCCATCTGTTTTTTTTTTTGTCAAGGGTTTTTTGTTGGGTATAAATTGCATAAAAAATATATATTTTATACATTCTTTTTTCATTATTATTTTATGCTATTGAAAATAAAAAATATATGAACTAAAAAAAAAAGTATTCAATTTTAAATACAGATAGTATGAAAAAGCAATATGATTTTTTTTCCAAAAATATTAGAAACACATATTTGAGTGCTTAAAAAGTGTTAAAATACTTTTACTCAAGTACTTTACAAGACTCCCTACGTTTTATCTTGCTATTATGGAATTAATTATGTTTGTAATTTTTTTTTTATTGTTCTGCATTATTACTAAACATTTTAAAATTTGTATTATTTAATATTTTTTAAGGCTAAAAGTTATCTAACAAAAAGTGAACTGGACGATCTTATTAAGCCAGCTCTCGACTATTTATTGACACTGAGGTATAAATCTGGGAATTTACCATCTTCTCTATGTAATGATCCTGATCGTTTAGTTCAGTGGTGTCACGGTGCTTCAGGTGTCTCACATACTTATGCACTAGCTTATAAAGTAAGAAATATTTAAATTTCTTTATTGTGACAGATCACTTATACTTATTACACTATGATGTATGCATAGACCGTATACTTTCTAAATTAAAAATAGAAAACAAAAAAATTTACTTTTCAGATTGAATTATTAGCATGCTAATCCCATTTATATGTTATATTTAAACAAATATTCAAATTCTGCTTTTTGGAATTTTCAAGTTTAGTTAAAGAAAATATTTTCACAGCACTTAAGTAGTAGTCCTAATATATACATGGCCATTTATAACTTCTCTTTAGACGCTTATAAAAACAAAAATATTTTTAAATCCTTTTATAAGATTATTATGTTTAAACAATATCTATTAAAAATCATTCATATAATAGGGTGTAAATTGAATAAATAAAAATTATATTTTAGATTCTGAGCAGATCAATGAGTGTATTGATTTTATAATTATAAGTGCTTTTTTTTTTTTGTCTATGTTTATGATAAGTAATCGAAATGATGCCTTCATCGTCTGTATCTTTTCGGGTGGGAAAGTGATTCTAGTTTATGCATTCAGGAACAAATAAAAAATTGTTGGACATTGAGTTATTCTTCAATTTCTTATCAAACATCATCTTATTTTCTTGTAATTAAAAAACGAAAAACAGTAGATATTTGAAATGTACACAAAATGTTTATTGTTTAAAGTTTTTTTCTATAAATGTCAATACAATTTTATTTGTTTGGTCTAAAAGAATGAAAATTTAATACAGTGATCCTGATATATTGTTACAATATCAGTTGAAATATATTAAAAATATATAGGCACATTATTGTTTTATAAGCATTTAAAGTTCAATTTTATCAACATTTATTCAAAATTTACAAATCATTTTATACAATTAGTTTTCAAAATATTCAATTTTTATAGCTAAAGATTTAAAACAAAGTTGCATGTAAGTAGTTGATTTTTCTGTAGAAAAAAATATATCAGCACAATTTTCTTTTATATGTGTTTTATGTTTAAATTTGGACAAAATTACATATTAAATAACCAAGAATAATGATTTCAGTTATTTAGTTCTTATTTAAAAATATTATTTAGTAGGTACTTGAAACTATAAGAGTATATTATTATATTCCATTCACACAATGTAATTTTTCGGCAAAAATGAATTTAACTTACTGTAAGAGTAATGCCTAATAGTAAAATAAATTACTTCAATCACAATAGTATCATCATATGTACTAAGTAATATTATATTCTGACCGACCATCTCTGCTCAGAATTGTTTTATCTATATAATGATTTTAAAACATTAAATTAACACCATCCATTACAATGGCCCACTTTGTAACCTACTGTATAGCAGAGCTACATCGACCTCCCCACTCCAACTATTATTTTAATAGGCTAGGCCTTTTTTAACATTATCTTTGAACTATGTACAATTTTAAATTATTAAAATGATAATAGTATGTTCAATATATATGTGGATAAATAAACAATAGCAAAATATAAATATTGATAAACTAAACATTATTTGAATAATCATAAATATAAACAAAAATTCTAAATCTACTTTGTCATTAGTAGGGTTTAGGATGCTTAAAACCTAAAAAACTTTTAAAAAATGCCCAATAATGAAAAAAGGTTACCTTTTAACAATGAAATACGTTATCATAAAGTTTTAACTTTCAAAATTATTGTGTTATCCTGTTATATATTGTATTATCTGCTTTTGATATTTCACTTTTTATTTATTTCTAAAAAAAGAAACAAATTTAACAGTAAATTAAATCAATTTGAATATTATTTTTGGTTAATAGTTGCATATTTACCAGTGTTGTGGTATATCACTTTTAAAAAGTAAATATATTACTTATTTGTTACTCAAATAAAATTTTTATGAAATTACTTTACTATTCAAATATAAAAGTAATAACCACCTTAATTTCTCGTTACAAAAAAAAAACACTTATTTTTTTAATTTTTAAGCAATTTATTGTCATTTTATATGCATCTTAACTAAAAATACTCTATTTAAAATGGTATAATTTAAAAAATATTAGATACGAATACAAGATACGGCCAAACAACTGTCAACTGGTAGACTAACTTTAAATACGCAATAACAATTAGCAGCTCCCACTGCGTTATTAAATATTATACACAATTTAAATCATAATAATTGTCTAAAATTAATAATAACTCATAACAATAAACCGTTTCTTATTGATTGTCAAATGACTATAGTAATTTATAATGCTGTAATGTAAATATTTTAAATTTATCATTTATCAATTATCAGTATATATTTTGTACAAATCAGAAAAATAATGTTATATTCTAATGTAAATTGTAAAATTAGTAAATACTGCATATACTGCAATTATATTACTACCAGCCAAGTGTCAAAAGTGTTTAGGTATAGTTTACAGAAATCATTAATCAATAGTTAATAGGAACATGTAAATGTTAAAAACTTCCCAGTCCATGCTAGATATTCATAGAAAACGTTTTGTGTACTTATTGTCGTATTTATAAAGAAATCGAGTAAAATACTTTACCTATAACTTTACTTGTAATTTATGGTATAAGTAGACATGTAAAAATGATTAGAAACTGTATTGTGGTGACTTTTAGTATTAAGAACAATCAATTACTTTTAAAAAAATTGTTACACACTCCTTATAAAACATGTCAAAACTGTGGTTCGCTATACTATAGAAATTATTTATCAAAAGTTATTTCCATTACATTTTTGTTACTTGCAAATAATCCTATTGAAATTACGTCACAGGTTACAAAGTAACACCATTACTGTAAAGTGTTACTTTTCTTACATTACTACCCAACACTAAAAGGTACTACCTAATTTGATTTGAATAATGAAAATCTTTTTTTAGTTTTTCAAATAAGACTTTGTTAGTTCTCAGATGAAATACTTTTTTCATCATCTACAGAAGCATGTTGAAATTTATACATTTATTAGTTTGCTTTTTATTAAAAACTCAATTTTTCAATTATTTATTTATTTATATTTATTGTTTTATAATTATTATATGTATTTATTCTTATTAATCCCTAAAATAATAAAAATGATATACTACTACTTTTTCTATGCCATATAAAACAAAGTTATAACTTGTTTGAAATGTGGATGACTAAAAAAAAGGTATGAAAAAGTCCTAACTATAGTCATAAGTCTTCTTAGCAGTTCATTTGATAACTAATTAGTGGTAATATACACATATTATATATTATAGATACTTCAATTGATTTTATAATATAAAATATGTTGAAAGTATGTTTTATTGTAAATTAAAAAATCATAAATTACTTATAAATGATTCAGCTCTGATAGCTTTTGATAGACTGTAATAGTATTTACATTTGAATAACAAGTTATATTTGCAAATAAGGTTTTTCTAGACGAGAAGTACCTTAATGCGGCAGTACAATATGCTGATATTGTATGGCAACGTGGTTTATTGACTAAAGGATATGGACTGTGTCATGGCGTTAGTGGAAATTCTTATACATTTATATCATTGTTCCAATTAACTCGAGTAAGTTGATTAAAATACTATGATAAATTATATACTGTTCTAGATATGTTATATATGTATAAGGTCAATAATGTACGCATGATCTATTGATAATAGGAACATTGTCAACCAACAAATATCATTGAATCATGGTTTTATTTTTACTTTAAAGCTTAAATAGATATGATGAATACAGTAATGCTGTGTAAACCTTTGTCGCCTATTGGAGTCAGGACTCCCAACACAGAAATTAAAATATTAAATAAGCAAGGCTGGGTATTAATGAGTTAAAAAGTTTATTTTATTTTAACTTTTTAACTCGATAGCTACTTTTGAGTTTTGGTTAGTTCTGTCTTACTACTTCTAACTTAACTTCATTGTTTTTTAAATTAACGTTCAATCACTAAATGAAATTTTGATTTCAAGAAGTTGATCAAATTTACTATGTTTTCAACTTTATTTAGTACATTTTTATTTTGTGTTTATGTTATAAAAATATTTCAGGTAATGTTTCTAGTGAATTGTTATTTTTTAGTGATAAAATCTTCAATGTAGTTCTATGTAGAAATATGCTATAATACTACATATTTTTAAGTTGGAAAAAATTGGAAGCTAGTTTTATAAACAATTCATTATTTCTTGAATTCTATTAATAAATTTTGTAGAAATGATTGCTTTATCTAATGATTTTATCCACATTTTTGTCCATGCTTTTTTAATCTAAAATTATAATAGACATTTACTATCAATATTGTAATGAGTATGTTCTGAATTCTAATTATTTTTTGAATATGTTATCTGTATATAGGCCTTACAACTATTGTACTGTACTAAGTGAACTTCTAAAATTACGTGATATTAGACCTACAGACCACAATCAGGCTGTTTATTTATGATTTACCCATAGGTACTATATTTTTGACATAACTAACTATGAAGTTATATTCAACTAGATGATATATGTTGAATTTGGTTCAATAGAAGGGAATGTGTCTATTATTTCAACTTAATTAGCAAATCTAATATTTATTCAATATTTATTAGCATTAATAAATATTATTTTTTACAGAAAACTAAATATTTATATCGAGCTGCAAGATTTGTTGATTGGTGCTTAACAACCAACCGTCAAAATAAAATACCTGACAACCCATATTCAATGTTTGAAGGTATTTTATATTTACAAAAAATGTTACTTATTTCTTAACCTTTTTAATTGTTTTTAAGAAAATATCTATGTAACTAAAAAAATGTTTTATTTTATATTTACTTTAATTTAATGTTATTGAACATATATGACACTTGAGTTAATAGAAGTTTATTGAGGAAACTTTTCTTTGGAAAACCATACACTTTCTAGACTAAAGAAACTAAGCTATTAGTTTTGGAATTCTTGTTCATGGTATTATTCTTTTTCATGGAATCCCCTGCATACAATCTGTTGACATAAATAAAACTACATAAAGGAATAGTCAATTTATCGTTGTACATAAATGTCAAACTATTTCCATTGCTATCTTTCTTACAACTATCGTTTGTCCTTTAGAGTTCAAAATTATACATTTTCTAGTCAAAAATTGAAACACCCAAGTTTCATTTATTATCTAAACATTTATTGTACTACCAAATGTTTAACAGTTGTTGTGCTATTAAATTGTTGTGAAATGAAAATTCTTCATATTATAATATAAAAATGCTTGTATCTCAGAATAATATAGGTGGGTACAGTGCTATAAAATTGTTAACATTTTTTTATTATTCATGCAGGTGTTTCTGGTGTTACATATGCTCTAATGGATGTGCAAGATCCCTTAGCAGCCAATTTACCAGGATTCTAATTTTTCAACTATTGCAGATTACTCATCTTTTTACGAAACAATTTTCTAGTCTATACAAGTTGCCTGTACAAATTGGAGCTTAATAATTAACAATTTTATTTATACACGTTTTAATATTATTTAGATACAATTTATAATATATATATACTAAAAGGTAGTCACTCAACTACACATTTAAAACTGATAGTTTTCCTATTTTAAAATTTTTATTCTTCATGTGTGCAATGTTTTTACTTTTCAAAACATTTTTTTAATGCATAGTTGATGGTGTTTTTGATATCCTTTTAAGAATACTTAAATTAATAATATTAATGAACAATGGTTCATTAATAAATAAAACATTTTTATTGAGACTGGTGAATTACTATAGTTAAATAGTAGATTTAAATGTAGCAACAACTTCAAACTCTTTAACTCACTTTAGTTCTCAAATTAAAACATTAATGTCATACATTGATTATTGAGACTTGAATATGTTTAATGGTTGGGGTTAGGATGTTTATGCACTAAAAAATAAATAAATATGCACTTATGGAAATGGAAAATATGCATTAAATACTTTAATATTTTAATTATTTTGTTTAAATTAAAGATGTTAAAAAAATTAATAAATGTATTGATTACAATTATAAATTATAATAAATGTCTTAATAAAAAGAGTTGCAGTAAACAACAATAGTTTTTTTTAACCAGTTGTACTCAATCTTTTTAAGCGACCCAATTTAGCCCCAAAAATGTGTCATGACACATGGTTTATTTACAAAATTACAAATTAGTTCTACCTACTTAATACTTTAATAATTTATGTTTTAACAGTTTTAAAATCATACATTACTTAGAATCTATATAATTCTAAACACCTCACTACCCACAGTTTAAGAAACGCTGTTTTAAATGGTTGACTTGTATGTGGAAGTGTATCTCAGAATATCAATGTAGGGTTAATAAATAAACAATCATTTTTATGTAATCAGATATTACAAATACAGATTCAATTTAAGTTAATTTTTTTTTCTTCGTATTTTTTATTAAAAACCAGAAAATAACAAAAGTATCATGGTACTGTTAAGCTAAATTTCGAAAAATATGTAAATACATGCAAAATAAAATGTTGGTATTTGAATCTAGACTATAAAAAATGTTTATCATATAATACATGCAATAGGACAATTAAGAAAAAGAACATGCAAAATCATAAAGATCCTAACCCTAATAATGGTATTTATAATTTAATTTTAACTTATTTTTTATAATACATTTTAACAAATAAAATGTATATTTTAAAGTTGTTAAGGATTAGAGCTCTAATAGATGAATACAAATAAACGAATACAAAAATATACATAAATACCCAATAAACATGTTCATAGGGAAAACTTTGGGTCAGGCCAGTTTGGCCATGGCCTGACCTAATACTAACTGAACAACATACTGACTTAATGAAATTTAAATTTAAATAAAAAACTTATTTTGTGATTAGATTTTTTTTTAACATTTATCATTTGTTCTGTCTTAATAACATTTTTAGTTTCGGCCATGCAAATGTTATGTTATTTTTTTTTTCAAATGACTTGAACAGACCTGTATTAAATAAGTGCAACTATTATTTTTAATCTAACTGAAGTATAATGGAGGATCAAAATTAAAATAAAACTTTATTCAAATTACTTTGTTAGAACCATTAACTTTTATGATTTATTTAATAAATAAAATTGTTAAATTAATTATTCCTATTATTTTAATGTGTTGAAATTATATACTAATACACAAAACAAACTATTTAGTGCCATAATATTGTAACTAATAAATTATATATATTTTTTTGTTTATTTAATTATACTTACCTATAAAAATAAATTCATATTTTTAATTGTATTTATAGAAAATTTTTTTTTTAATGTTTAGGTTTTAATTGAAAAATGTTTATGTCATAAATCATATTTTATTATCGTACATTTAAGTTTATTTCATTGTCAATAAACTCTTATCAATATTAATATATTTTTTTAATGATTTCAAGGTCATTATATTATAGTTAAAAAGCTGAATATGAATTATTTACCTTATTATTGTTTGTATTTTGAAGTTTTTTGTCAGTGAACCAATTCAGTAGAGTAGTCATTATGTATAATAAATATAAAAGTGAATGTAGTTTTGTAGAATTCAATTTTTCAAATTAAGTTTGAAGAATTACTGAAAGTATACTTTATTTTATTCTGTTTGCATTTGGTTTAACTATTTCGATTTTAGATGTTTTTAAATTTTTTTTTTTTCTATGAACTATAATTTAGGGGTGAAATTCCAATCTTTACTATTGCCAAAATTAACAAAATTGAGTTAGATATCTATTCTTATAAAAAAAAACATCGATAAATATTGATTAGTGCTGTCAAACTAAATCAAAATGTACTGTTTCTTGGTCTTAACCTGTGGTCCTCAGCCCTTGGGGGTCTGCGACACTAATGTCTTTCTTGTCAAACACACAATATACTTGGAAATTAGTCTTATTATTATTTATTTTAATTGAATTATTATAGATAAATTTGGATTGTTTGTTATAAAAAAAAAGTTGAGTTTAAAAAAGTTTTTCAAATTTTACCGAAAAATTAGAAAAATTAAATTTTTTTCTCATAAATTGGGAGGTCCGTGGCTTCAAAAATCATATTTATATGAGTCCACGTGCTACAGAAGGTCGATAAACTTTGATGTATACAATTTTTTTAAATAATATTGCTACTTTCTTTGTTAGACATTTCTTTCTCTCTCACCCTTAATATCTATAAGTATCAATGAATTGTGTTTTTAACTGTTTTGTCCCCAAATTCCTCTCTCAACACTCAGTCCATATCTTTATAATATTATGTCTATGGTACTTATAAACCATTAAGTTAAAACTTGAAAAAAAAAAAAATAATAATAATAATAATAATAATAAGGGTATTAGATAGATATTATAAATGATATAAAAGTTCCATATATTTATATAGGCAATATTTTAATATTTAAGTGTATTAGTGAGCACTTTGTGCAAGTAATGTACATAATTTATAATGTCTAATATTAATTTGATGTATAATTTTTGTATTTCACTATTTTATGTCTGTTTAATGGTAAACATGTTAGACTTAAGTTTATTTTTAATGTACCATGTATTTTTGTAACTGTGTTCATTAATTGACATTTATTTATCTTAAGAATGAGCATTTGTCATTATTTTTGTAACCTTATATATTATGCTTAATCAACACAGAAGTCATATTTTATGATTTATTTAATATTTTAATAATAAATAAACTAACTGCTTAAAATATAATTTAAAAAAATGTGGTATTGAAGATAATTATTATGAAAGTTCACCTTCTTTTATGGTTAAAATTTTGTTTCGTATAGGTATATAGCTGGATGTCTGTAGGAAATTATGAATATCTTCTTTACTCTATCACCTTTCTTCAGAACATTAGGAGTTATATACAAATAAACTTATAGCATTTTGATATGTTTAATATTATAGCTTATAACTATTTTATAATATATTTCTATCAATTAACCACCAATTATAAAAAACTAGGTAGGAATGTTTAAATTAGTAATTTATTTTACCATTAAGCATCAGTACTAAGGTAAGTTAAATTAATTTTTTCCAAAAACATTACCTACATATTTTGTAGGCCATTGAGTGTATAAAATTTAATTATATAGGTAATTGGTTGCCTGTTGGTCAGAGAAGAGCCCTCTCCCCCATTTGTTAAACCTGTGAAACCGTGTTAACTGTTTGATATGCAACAAAGAAAGGGTCGAGCACAAGACATCCTGCAACCTAGACATTGCACTTGGACACAAAAAAAAAAAAAAACTTAGGACATAATTAATTTTATGAAACAAACAAAATTTTTCAATCTTAAAAAAAAAGTATCTCATTTATATTATAGTTCATCTTTGTAGCTAATCATCACAAGTCATAACTTTCTTGTAACTACCTAATGGCCTTTTTTGTCAATGTTATTTTTTGTGATCAGTAAATAAAAAAAATATGTATTCAAAAAGACAAATTATACTTTTAAATTTTTAAATTTTAACTGTTACAACTTGAATCATTAATCTTGGTTATTTGATATATTTTACTATTTATATTTTAATAATACAACAAAATAAAATCGTTCAATGCGAAATCAAGTGAATGTCCAATGTTATGAACATTTGAAGTTCAAATCGAACTTGACTTTCTGGTAGACTTTTTTTGTTGATAAAAATAGATTAACTTGAACGGAATCTTGTACTCTATTTTTAGATGTTAGATTAAAAAGAAAAATGTCAATTAGTTTTGCAAATTTTAGTGATTTTAAAGTATCTCGTCAAAATTTAAAATTTGACGCTCATAAAAAATTATTTTAATTTTAAGCCTAACATTTTGAAGTTGTTTTGAATGATCAAAAATATTTTTATCTATTTCAATTTTTAACAAAACTAATAATAATAGAAAATATTATATGGATATATAGCTCAACAAGAGTAAAAATATTTTGAAAATCGTTTGTTGTATGGAAAATGCTATTATACATAAATATTCAGTGAAAATGTCAAGCATCAAAGGTTATTTGTTTTTAAGTTACAATAAAAATAAGAGTCGATTAGGTCAAAAACTTATTTTTTGTACAAATTTCCGTTTTTTCTTAATTGTTGGTTTGTTTTTCCTGGCGATTTTGAAAACTTTTTGGAATTTTAAATGTTGACCTCTTGAATACACCAACTGGATTCATTTTTCCTACAGGAAAAAATACTGAAGTTGAAAATCGAAGCAATATTTCGACTAGGTAGGTATCGTACTATTCTCGTGTACTCGGAGACAAAAAAAAAACACACATCATTGTATTATAAAACCATATGCGGTCCTACAGGTGCAGCCTCTGCAGCCTGTGCTGCACCTAACATTACAACCATCACTTTATTTTATTGGTTGAAATCATATAACTATTCATAACTCATAAGGTAGATATTTTATAGTTTATATCTTTGTTATTTCACGATATATTGTTCTGATCATGAACTTAGTTGTTACTTTGTTAGTTTCAGTGTTGGATAGTAACGTAACGAAGAATACAAATTACTATTGTAGTAGCCAGTAACGCTGTAGTAATTTTATTATATATTATTTAAATTAACGCAATTGTAACCAAATTTCTTATAAAAGTAATTTCTTTGGAGCAACGTGTTATTTTCCACGTTATTAAAATAAGTTATGAATGTAGAGTCCATGACATAGACTAAGGGTTAAGATATTCGAGAAAAATTAAAAATCGGTAAAATGTATTTACCATTCTGAAAATTTTAGATAATAATGATGAATATTATAAAATATGCAGGCATTTTACGTATTTTATTCATGTGTATTACATCCATCCATTATCAATATAGTGTACCTACATAATTAATGTATTACATATACTACTATACAATTTACATATAATAATTAATAGTATACCTACTTCTTATTACATTCGGCATTCGTTATAGACTGAATTTGTCGTTAAATTTTGAAAAAGTAACAATTCATTACGCATTACTTTTTGAATGAAAAAGTAACATAACGTGATAAAAATAATGTCGGGAAACGCGAATTATGTAATTTAAATAAAAATATTTAATGTAATAAGTAGCCAAGTAGGTAACGTAATTAGTTTCTTATCGAAAGTAATTTACCTAACACTGGATAGTTGTTAGCTCGTAGATCTGATGATCAAGCCAGAATTAAAGGGAGGAAGACCCTAGGCTAACAGTGGTATCACAGAATAACCTAACCTGGTGGTATTTATAGTCACGCGCGATCACATCTATAATTATCATAATATGAAGAAAAACCAAGTTCGGAGGAAAGGAAATTACTAGTTTACTAGTTACAAAAATTATATATAATAGTCTAAAGTAAATTATGGTTCATTGATACTCAGTAAATCTAACTTCGTAGGTACACATTCCCAATACCCCTAACATTTAGAAATTAGCAATCTATGCTGCACGGCTGCACCTGAAGTAAAATCCTGGGACCGCCTATGTATAAAACCAATACATTCATCACTTCACTCAGAACTTAAAATGTTTAAGATATTTTATTAAAGGTAGATAAATGTATTTGGTAACTTGTATTACATTTTTAAATATTTAAACATTTTATGAATTTCTAACATGAAATAATTTGCAAATTTTTAACGAATTTTAACTTCAGACGATCATAAAAAAATATTGTGTATTTACTCTTAACTTCTTTTGTTTAATTCCCACTTATGAAGAACTTTGTAAAAATAATGTTATTGATACCTATTAATTAAAAAAGTTGGACAAATAGGTAGTAAATGAGTATATTTTACAAAACATTAGTTGTTGAGAATGTCATAATTATAATGATTGTGTTAAGTATATTTTGATTCATTAATAAATCATCGCATACGAAGACGATACAGAGCGGTGCACTGGTGCGCCGTGAAATTATCATTCGAGCATATTTACCTACTGTATGAATAATCAAACACAATGACTAATAATTAATATCCATTTTCAAAATTAAAATCCGTTGAATCCAAGTCCTTTAATTTTGTTTAGCTTTTTGACAGTTTGTCATTTGAATAGCATGGCGTATATTTGATCAAATCTGTACCATTGACATGTGCCTAAGCGTGTGGTAACTGGTAACTTATGTGAGGGCAGTGAGCCGTCGGTGTCCGGTACTCGATAACGAATTTTACGAATTACACACACTAACATTCATTTACTTCTCACTCAT